TATTTGAATTAATCTATTTAATTTTTACTTGCTTGAATTTAGATTAATTTTTTGAAAAAAAATTTAAAAGGGTAATTAGCACATAACGTCTTCACCTTTCATTGTTATTGTAGAAAACGTTCACATCTTTTATTTTTTGATATTTTCACCATTTTTTCCACATTTCATTACTCAAAAGGTTATTTTCATCTATTTTCTCAATTAAAAATTGTAAAATGACGAAAATACCCTCTGCTTTAAATAAAATAAAAGGAAAAAAGAAAAATTAATTGTAATCATAATCCCAAATTTGTTTTAAAAGCTCAAATGGGTTTCAAATAACTTATTAAAATGGTAATTAGTACATAATATCCATATGTTTCACCTTTATTGCGAAAAACATCCATACCTTTCATTTTTTTTAGCACCACACCCTTAATTACATATTTAATTGTGTAAACCATCATTTCCATCCAATTTCTCAATAAAGAACTGTGAAATAATGAATATATCCTCATACTTAAATAAAAAAATATTTTTTAAATTTCTAATTCTTTAATAATTTATTTGGGATTCGTTTGCACTTTTTAATTTTTTTTAAATTTTTAAATAAATTTAATTGGGGCTCGTTTGCACTTTTCATTAAAAAAATTATTATTTTTAAATAATTTATTGGGGACTCGTTTGTACTTTTTTTTTAAAAGGAACTATAGTTGCAATTAATTTTTTAACTTTTTTATTTAAATAGGAGGGTATATACACATTTCACTTTTTATTGAGAAAATGGATGAAAATTGATATAAATGATGGTTTGCGCNAAAAAGATATATTTTTATTTAAGTATGAGAGTATATGAATTATTTCACAGTTCTTTATTGAGAAATTGGATGGAAATGATGGTTTGCACAATTAAATGTGTAATTAAGGGTGAAAATGTCAAAAAAATAAAAGGTATGGACGTTTTTTGCAATAATAGTAAAATGTAGGGATATTATGTGCTTATTAGTAATTGTTCTTCTAATAATTTATTTGGGATTCATTTGCGCTTTTCAAAAAAGTTGGGATCATATTTGCAATTAATTTTTTTCCTTTTGTTTTATTTAAAGGGAATGGTATTTTCGTCGTTTCAAAATTTTTAATTGAGAAAATGGATAAAAGGACCTTTTGCACACTGAAAGGTGAAAATAAGAGTGAAAATGCTAAAAAAATGAAAGGTAATGACGTTTTCCACAATAACAATGAAATGTGGGGGATGTTATGAGCTAATTACCCTTTTAAAAATCAATTCACCTCTTAATTAGTTATTCTTGGACTATTAATTAGTTTAACAGCTATACATTGCGTGAACCAGTGCAGTTTGCTCAAAAATATAATACAATTCAATTATTTACTTAATGGGTATTCTCTATCAACTTTTTGAAAGAAGGAACCATTAGTTATTCTTGATCAACGTTATAGCTCCCTTGGAGTCGAGAGGACAATTTGCT